TTGTTTGGCAAACCGTATCTAATCCATGCTATTTAAAAAAATTCCATGCCTATTGGAGAATTCTCTTGGTGCTTGTGTTACTGAATATTATTAGTCAAATACAAACATATACACGTAAGTTATGTTCTGTTACCTAGGACATACGTAATTATGGAAAAGCTATGATGCTTGTTCGGTAAAGCCTAATTTTGTTGAGTGCCTAGCGCCCACTAAACACAGTCTTCTAAATGTTAATTTAAATGGAGTCCATGTGAAAAACGCTGTGTTCTTCAAAGGGAATTTTCCTTGGTAAAGCCAGTAGTTTCTGGAGCCTTTCTTACACTTCATTACACTTGTGCTGATGCTGCACCAGTTAAGGATTGGTACAAAGAAATCTGGAAAAGACACTGGATTCCAGATATTCTAATCTTGGCAACAGACTACTATTTTATTTATACTATTTAATTAATTTATACTATTTGATTCCATATCTGTATAGTATTTTTACCCTGCAGTTTCTTAAAATTTATTGAGCATATTCCCATTTGGTTTTAAATTTGACAGTCTTGATATCTTTTTAACTTACTGTAAGCCAACAAATCAAATCCCACAAAGACAATATAGGAAGCAAACAAAGCAAGTGAATCTTGGGACAAATGATGACAAAAACACACAGGCTGAATTTATTTCTTTCATAATTTTCAAGTGGTTGTAAATGGGGAATAGCCTTGATTTTATTTATATAGACCTAATTCTTCTGAGAAGATTAACAATACTTTTGACATTTTGACTAATTGCAATTACAGTTGGCCTCTCTATCCAGATAATGGTAAGAATCTTGGAAGAATGCACACAGTTGGAGTGCACACAAGGGCAACGTCTGTTTTGTAAGGACTTCATGGTGCTAGAAAAGGGGATTTACTTGTGTGGAGTTCAGGCTTTGCCATGCTGCTCATGATGCAGAGAAAGTTACAGGAGTGAAGCACTCATGAATGGCTACTCTCCAGAGATAACTATGAAAGCAAGAGGTGCCGTTTTCCTTCTGTTTTGCTACAGTACATTCCATCACCCCCTTTCAGCTGTAAAGCTTTGTATGTGATGAGGGGATTTTCTCTGATACGTAGAATATACAAGTGAAAAAAACAAAAGCAAAATGTGTGGAGAATGTGAACCTGTTACCAGGTTAAGGCTGTGATCTCGCTGTGGGTACTTCTAGAGATTAAAGTAATCGTGGTTCTATTCAGGAAGGTATTTTTTATTTCAGTCAATACTAACAAACTAGCTGACCTGATACAATTTTTAGTTTACATGTGGTTCATACAGTGAATTTTGCAAGGGTCCTGTAGAAAAATAGGTGGTCACATATGTAATTAGAGTCTTGCAATGTGTTTGAATGAGCAAACTTAGACAACACTGGCAATATTTAGACAGCGTTGATTTTGTATGTCCCAAGTCTAGATTGCTTTTTGAGGTTGATGTGAAGAATTGGGGTGCACTGAGGGTATATGCAGACAAACTATGACTGAAATAAATATTGCTAAGCTTTTGTATAATCAAGTTTTGATTGGTTGTGGGTTTTTTTCCCTTTTAGCCATGTTAGAGTTTTTGTTATGCTTACTTCTCCCTTTAGGAGATTGCTGTTGTTTCCCAAGGCTTCAGCCTGAGATCTGTTTTCCATCAGAGCATCCAGTTTAGCTTGAAGCACTGGTTCTTACACAATTTATTCTTCTCTGGGCATTATAGCTTATCTTAGAGATAGGGGTTGGAAGTGCAGGAACAAAGTAATGGAGCATGTGAGGTCAGCATAAGAAGAGTTAGAACTGACCTGACACCAGCAGCTTCTTCTCATCCACATGTTTTAGTTTCTCCACATTTGATTATTTTACCTGGAAGAGAAAATAGCTGCTTTTTGAGTTTTTTATCCTCCCTTCACACTTTTGTGTAAAATACAGGCCACATCTGCTTTTTACTAGTCATTTGACATGTACTTTTAACAGAGAAAATGTGGGGAGGTTTTGAGCCTTTTCTCTGCTTTTATTCATACCATGACACTTAAATAATTTCCAAGATGTGAAATCTAGGGGTTTATCAAAAGCAAAACTCAACCACTTTATTTATCTGAATTTTGTCAGCTGTTGAACAAGAATGTCAGGACCAAATGACAATTGGTCATGTCATGACCAAATGAGTTTGTAGTAGCATTAATATGTTTTAAATTGATAGTTTAAATATGGATACAAGGTAGATCTAAAATCAAAACAGGTACTTTTGTTAAGTAAATTGAAAATAATGAAAGAGCTACTTACCATCTCTTCTGAACACCAAACTATATTATTGGACTGGGGGTATCATATATTAAATAGCCTAATTACCCTTAAAGTTTTGCAGAATTAATTTAGTGTTTGTTGAATAACAGCATTTTTCAGAGAGTGTGTGTTTGAAGCAGATGCTAATGTCACTCCCAGGTGTTAGTGGGAAATGCCAGAGGTGCATCTTGCTTACCTGTAGGTACCAATGTTGTAAAGTTGAATGCTGATTCAGAGTCAGGGCTCTTTGTGATCTCTATAGCTGATTTTATGTGATTCTTTCATTTCCTTTTCAAAATGCAAGGAATGGTAAAGGCAAGAGAGTTAAATTTTTTTAAAAAAAATAAGATCCTTATTCTTTTGAAATAATACTCCCAAAGTCATGTCTGTTCAGACTCAATGAAAAAACTTTATTGTCGTCCCTGCCTCTTCCCACCCCCCCAAAAAAAATTCTTTCTGATGATTTTCCCAAACTACATCCTGTTTGCCCTGTTTTGAGCCAAACTCAGGAATGCTTCTCTCCATCTGTTACACAGAGTCAGCTAGTAATTTCTATTTTGTTAGTTCTTGCTCAGGTCTTGCCATATGGTCAGTAGCCTTTCCAGTTCTTGGTTATCTCTGCATAAAAGGCACGTAATTTGCTTTATTTAAATTTTTTTATGTATTCTTTGGCACTTTATTAAGCAATTTATTATGTAGATAATATACTTAACACGTGGCATATTTTGCATGCATGTAAACTTTAACCAGTTGCATCCCAGGATGCTTAGTGTCTGCCACAAATGTTTTCTATGTGAGTTCATCTTGTAGCATTAGGAATCTACAGTACTGTAATCTTGCTTTGTGTCTTTGTACTGGTCATGCTTAGGGTCCATTTCCCTTTTTGTAGAAATAATTTGGGCAGTCATCCATTCCTGTCAAGTCCTGGTATCATCTGAGCTCTTGCTGACTCTGGTGGACTGTGCTAATATGGTTTAATTTGGGTAGTGGGGTTTACCTTTGTAATCTTGTCAGAGTAGTAGGTTGAGCATACAAATGGCACTTGCAGGTAATTTAAAGGTCTATTTTTTGGGCTAACTGGGTAAATTTTGTACCTGCAAGTGTTCATTCACCTGAGGTGTGTAAGCATGCATGGATCATAGCAAGCTGCCAGAAGCCTTATCCAGTTGTGGTGGAATATCAGGATGGAGCATGTGCAAGAAATATCCTTGCTGCTTTAATTGGAGAAACAAACACAGTTTTAGGGGTTTCTTTTGTGGAGCGTCTGAGAAATAACAAGGACCTTGAAATCAGTGATAAAACTTGAATTACTGCAATTGAGTGTACAACCATGTTTGTACTGAGACATAAACTTGCCAGAAGATACAGGCAAAAACATTCATTTAAAATTACCAGAAACAGTTTCTGCTCAGTTGTTGAATGTAGGGTTTGGGTTTTTTTAACATTAGTATGTGAAATTGTCATCTCTCCTTTTCTTTTTTTTCCAATCTGTTTATTTTACATTGTTTGGAAAATCTCTTGGTTAACATGCTGGATTTATCCCCAAACACTCAAAGAAATATTAAACATAGGCAGCAAGTTATCGCAGTCTAAAAGTGGGGATGAGGGGTGCCTTTTTTTCTGACAAAGGGAGGAAAATAAAAGAGATCTGAATTTTTAAGTCAACATGAGTTTATTCCACTCAGGGAGTATTACGTGGCAGAGGAGATTCTGAGCTTCAGGTTAAATGTTACTCCAAGGTGAGCCATGGGTCACCTGACCTGCAAAGGGAAGAGGTTCAGCTGTAAATGACTGCGAGCAATAATTTCCTGAAATGTTGTCACTTAATGAATAGATCTGTCTATACTCTGAAACAGCTCCTGTAAGACCTCTATAACTGGTTTTTAGTATTTCCATGTGAAATAAATATTTATACATATCTAGTTCGCAGGTTATGTTTTTGATTGCAATATGACTTCGTATTGTTGAGAAGGATTTATTCTTCTAAATAAATAGAACTGAATAATCTCTCCCATTTTACCTAATCTATAACTTTACAAAGTAGGTTTCTCCTTTCCTCCTCAACATATCTTCTCCAGAAATTAAGTGGGCTTTTCTCCAGTTTAGAAGACTTTAAAATAACCCAATTTAATTTTTTTTTGTTTGCTTAAATCTCTAAAAGATGTGTCTGCTGCTGTGAGAGGGCTCACGGGTGAAGATTTTCATGCATTTTACATGGTTCTGGGCAACTGGTTTTGGGTGGCCGTCTTGATCAGGGGGATTGGTCCAGATGGTCTCCAGTGGTTTCTCCCAACCTCATCTGTTCTGCAATTGTGTCATTTGGACAATAGAATTAAAATTTAATAGTGAATTTTCATTTCGTTACTTGTCACAGGAAAAAGAATGCACTCATGGCAACGTGTTCATTTAGATTTTTCATTGCTTTTCTTCCGGTAAAGCAGTGAATAGAGTGTGATATCAAAGCATGGCAATGACCTAAATAGAGCTGACAATGAATAGATTTCTAGATATATATAGTAGCAACAGCCAGATATTCTGATTAATGTAAAAACACTTGATGTATTTTGTCAAGAGGTTTATTAAAAATTGTACCTATGTCCCTTTTGGGAATATGGTGGGGATAGTCATGAATGTATTTTTTTTAATAATTCTACAGTAATGCTGAAAGAATTACAGAGCTAAGTTAACACTGTGTTTTGTTGGTTTTTTTAACAGTCCACATACTGGAGAGCAGAGTTACCAGCCTGATGTACCCCAAATTCCCACTGCTTGCATCTCTGTGGAAGATGCTGAAATGATGTCACGAATGTCTCTCCGTGGCACTAAGATTGTTGTGCACCTGAGGATGGGAGCTAAGACTTATCCAGACTCTCTATCCTTTAACACTGTGGCAGAGATAGTTGGAAGCAAGTACCCAGAGCAGGTGGGTGAAAATATACAAAAAACTCCTCATTTTTTCTTTAAAAATATGGAAGAAACAAACCAAAAAAACCAGCCCTTTCAAAGAAATCCCTAGAACAAGTAACTTTTATTCACACACTCTTCTATATTTTAGGCATCTTAGCTTTTCAGTCTTTTTCAGATAACAGGTTTCATGTCTATGTTTAGCACGTGTTGTATGTATGTTTGGAATAAACTGTCTGCACCACAAATTGCATTTGAACATTACATAATTCTACATTGTTGACTTCCATTTATAAGACTTTTGCTCTTGCTTTCTTTTTTCTTCCAACTTCTTAGCTAAAAATCATACAAACCAAACCCATGGTGCTGAAGGATTTGTGCCTGGTATAAGGTCTTCTGTCTCAGCTTGCAACATGGAATTACTTTTCTGGCAGTATGTTTCATCGTGAAAATGTTGATGCAACCTCAATTACAGCAGCACTAGAAATTGCTGCAAGAGTCCCTACTGAGCCACAATGCTTTTTTAAACACTGTACTTTTATGGTTTCAGTGGAGGAGAAGGAGAATGACTATCTCTGACCTTTAAACCAGGCAAGAGATTTTATCTATTTAAGAGATTTTATCTTTTCTGAGATAACAGTTCAGTAGCTCTGGCTTGTGGTGTCTAGTGTTCCTCATTACTAGCATGACTGTACTGTTTCAGCAACTTCATCACTGGGCAGGGAAAGAGTAACTACCCTGGTGTGGTTCATTGGTTTCCATAATGTCACCTGTGAATCTAGCTTCATGAAACAATATTTACCAAGTTAAATGTTCCAATTTTCTGATTAGGATGCATTTAATTTTATGTCATCTGCATTTTCAATGATGTTGCTAACTAGTTAATAGGCTATCTTTCCTGAATTATGTTTGGTGTATTTCAAAATTTGACATTTCATTTCAGGGTATGAAGTGTTCAAATGTAGACTTCAAAGATATGTTAAGGTACTTGCCTGGGCTTGATTTTCCCTTTGCTGTCCTGCTCTGTTTCTTTAAGTAATGAAGTGGATTGGGATCTCTTCACTACTTCCATTGAAAAGCTCATTTTTTTAAAACACTGGATAAAGGCTTATTTAGAAACCCCCTGCTGATGTCAGTAGGAGTGGTAGTGGACACACTTTGAAAATGTAACCAAGAAACAGAAAAATAAAACAAGTGAATGTTTAGGGGTTTTAGTACTTAGTTCCTTTTGGAGCCTTAATGAGTGATTCACCATGCTCATTCCATTTTGTTATTCTGGTAAAAATGGGAACCATCTTGCTATTTAGGCAATAAAATACACTGCAGATCCAAACTCTTACAAGGCTCTCTATATCAAAGTGTTTCAAAATGCAGTACAAATCCAGGGGAACAGAAAGGTGCCATTTCCATGGGCAGTTTTAATTTTGAATCAAAACAAACCCAAATCTGGATCTCTGAACTCTGGGTGAGAAATCAACAGTGGGTTGTATTGCTCTTACAAAGCTCTAAAGCAAAACAGTTTAAAATTAGGTTGAAACCTGTGAAACATAACTGGTCACAGGTATTGCAGCAAATTATAACTTAAACCCCTGAAATTTAGTTGAAAATGTGAGTTGCTGGAGGGACACCAAAGAAAGTGTGTGAAGTCTGGTGAAAAGTGATTCAGCTCAAGATGTAACTACACATTTAGGTATACTTTTGTTCATCTATATATTGACCAGAATTTTATATACTGCTTGATTTATAAATAATTAATTAACTCCTTCCATGAGATTTTAATATATTTATTAAAAATAACCACCATGAACTGAAATAATATTTGTCTGCCAACTTTATGTTACAAGCAGTATTAATTATTATTATCATTAAAATATGTTAAAAGAGGAAATAATTTTAATATCTGTTTAGGATTTTTTGGGGGGTTCTTTTTTGTTTTGCTTTGTTTTGGTTTTTTGTGGGGTTTTGTTGTTGTTGTTGTTTTTATTTGACCACTTCTGCAGCATATCCAATTCTGTTCCTACTTTTTCAATCAGTTTTCCAAGTGTTTTATGTGGATTCTTGCATATAGCAATTGGGGGTTTGGGGGGTAAAACTAGCAAAATGTTAAGGAAAACAGAAAAATAGTAGTTGACATATATTTGATATATTTTCCTAAAGGTTTGCTGTATTTTCGACTTAGCATTCTGAAAGTCATTGCTACTGCAAGAATTGTTGAAATCATAAAAATAGAATTGTTCGAGTTGCAAACCTTATTTTAAGCACCTATGCTTTACTTCAACACATTTGCATTCCCAAGTAACCTGAAGCAGTAAAAGAAATGTTATTGCTGCTTTGTGAAGCACCAAGCTCTCAGGGGTGCATTCATTGTCAGAGGTGATGATGTGACATAGGTGCAGATGTCCTGTTCTTTTTGAGGCATCTCTGTACCCAATGTGCAAGTACTTTTGAAAAATTTACCCACTGATACTTCAGCATGTTTCCTTCCTGCTTTATCCTTTCTGTTTGTCTGGCCAGTAGGCAGTAAGCAAATGTTCCAGCTAGAAAAAATGTATGAAGGTGAAACCTACTGCAAGCTGCAACTTTGCAGTGTCAAGTTTTCAGGTGGTGTGGAAAGCATCTGACCAGAAAAAGGAAATGGATTTTGTCATGCTGTCAGTAAAGTTCAGTGTCTCACCAATGTCTCTGTTCTGTTTATAATTGTATTATCCCTTCTAAGTTAGGAAAGGACTGTTCACTCCAGACAAGCCTCTTCCTATGTCAAAGCAGGTGTGATTGTGTGTGATCGGAACAGAGACACCCACCATCCTCATGAGAGTTGAGGTCCTTGTTTAGTGCCTGTTGAGGCCTGATTAACCTGTAAGTGCCAAAGGAGGTGAGCCTGTGCCTATAAGATAATGAATTCGAGATCCACCTTTTTGTCATATAAACAAATGGAAAGCAGTGGGACCAAATGTGCTATGACTTGATGTCCTGGCAGCCTTTCTGAGCTTGGGATCCCATTCTCAGGGTGCTTAGAACAGCAGTGTGAGTAGAAAACCTGTGAGTTGTGGGACTTAACATATTTGTCTGTATGACTGCTGACAATTGAGGCAATGGATTTGTGAAAGGTATGGTAGCAGAACCTACTTAAGTCCAGGCTATTGCAGTTTAGAGACATTTGCAGTCCATTCCCGACTTTTATCTTGGAGGAGTATTTGAGCACTCTGTTGCACCTAGGCCCATGCTGTTAGCATCCTTTTGTGCTGTATTGTGTGTTGCTGAGATGTTTTATTTAAACTATGTAAGCTGACACTGGAGACTGACTGACTGAGAAATTCGCAAGTTAACTAATGTGGTTTTCATTTGAAATTCAGGCAGAGCTGGCAGTAAAACATGTTTGTCTTCTCATTTTAATGCAGATGTAACATGATTGGTCTTAAAGTGAGGCAGCAACCATTCCCATCTCTGGGGAAATGCTATAAATAGCAGCTGTTTGTTGTTAATCTGGCTTCAATGTGCCTAATGTGCCAAACATGGAACCACAAAATATGTGATTAAGTGAAAAGGTATCAAAGTGGATAAAGTTATAACTCTTCTACAATCTTGACTTTGAGTGTCCTTTCGTACTGTGTGTTTCTTGGTGCACAGCGCTGTTTTACTTATGCTACAGTTACTAAGTGATGGAAAAACTGTTTCCTAAGTGCGCTACAAAGTACATAAATTTAATGGCTGATCATTATTCTGTGATCCAGGATAAATACTTTAGAGCAGAAACAGAGGTGCTTGTAAGTGGCCTTTTCAGAATCCTGGAGAGCTGTTCCAGGAATTCACTCTACAAAGATTTTTGGCCTCCTGTTTTTATGGAATACCGTGTCTACAGTATGTACCATTTGAAAAGCATCTCCATTTTGAACACCAAGGACATGAAAGACCATTGAAGAATGTACTGTAGCTTAGAGCCAAGTTTGAGCAGTGCTTTGAAAGTAGCAGTCCTAGGGATGACCTGAGAAACAGAGATGCTAAAGTAGTAGCATAGAATGTGAGGTTCTTTACCAGTCTGTGATTGATGTAACAGAACCTGTTCTGCAAAGGACATAGATGCTTATTTTCTTTTTCATTTTTCTTCCTTTCCCAGTTTCAAAGTTCAGCCCTGTCTCAGATTTTGTGATACTGGGCAAAGATCCAGGGAACAAGAGAACATGAGAATTTGAGTCCAGGCTTCTGAGCCTGTTAGGCATTCATGCACATAACGGAAGAAATAATTTGTAGACCAAAAATCCACTCTAACCTCAAGAAAAAAAAAAAAATCAACACAAAACAACCAGACTTCTCTGAAGATGTATAATACTCAGTGCAGTGTTGTTTTATGGCCTGGCATCAGTTGTACATATGTTAACAAAATGTCTGTTCATTAGCTCTTTGATGTGGCTTCCAGATATCCCTATGCTCAAAGTAAATCATGCATACAATAGAGCTTTGAGGAGAAATGTTTTAAGAGCCTGATGCCATCATGTTATGGCTCCATTATCACATTTTCTCCATGTGGATTGTTTTACTATTCATTCCAAAATGTTGAAGGATTTCTAAATACAATTCTGTGAGCCTCTCTCCTGTGACTGTAAGCTGATATGTGTTGCTGCTACAATTTAAGTGAATTTGAAAGAATTAGAAGATTATTGTGGAGATTTGGTTTTGAAAGTTTTAAGAGTGCCAACCCATGACTTCATGACAGTGAACTGATGGGCAAAAGAAGTAGAAAAAGAAATGGTAAGAAAGAAACAACAGAAAGGGTGAAGAAAGAATATTGGTATTGTTAGGAGATGATGTATTTTCTTTGAAGTATTTTTGTTGATATTTGCTGAAATAAGTAGTACCTCTGGGTGTCTTTGTTTTATTAATAACTGGCTTTCATACCATTAATTGGAGGCTGTCTTTTATCCTGTGCCTTGTAGGAGTGGCAGTATTGCTGTAATTTGTTCTGAGACAGAGGTCCTGTCATGATGAAAACAGTCAAATTTTTGTGGTGTAAGTCTTGGCAAA